GGCGTCTCTTGTTTTATTTATTTATTTATTTATTTTCTGCATTCTAACTCGTGATCTTTATTTTTTTCAGTAACAATTCCCCCTTTCACAGTTGTGGATTTTTTTATAAATAGATATGTTAAAAATTTGGGGTTAAGTCATTGTTTTGCTATGATTACGTTGAAATTAACACAGAGACTTTATAGCATGGTGCTTGGAGCACAGCAGAGATGCAATCATAGGGTTTGTTTCTTGATCCTATATTTAGGTTATGATTCATTATTGTGATAAACATGTACATTGTTAAAAAGGTTTGCTGTATAACACTTTCAGATTTGATTAAGAAGATGGTGCTTGTCATCTTATGAAGGCTGTCTTGAAAGTCTTTCTCAGGTCAAGATAAATAAACTAATTTATATCACTTTATATTACTTCACGTTCTCAATATTAAAGTAAAATGAGATTAAATTCATCCATCGTGAAGGACCTCTAATATATCCGTCCTGAAAGACATGTTTCACTAGGTGTGAGCGGAATAAATTTATTATTAATTTATGTAAATTCAGCAAAATAAATATTAGGCTAATTGTACAGTAGTCAGTTGCCATAGATGTGTTTCCTTCAAGACTCAAGGCAACATTAGCAGCCCTACAGGCTCCAGGAACAACTCCAGCAGCCCTACAGGCTCCAGGGACAACTCCAGCAGCCCTACAGGCTCCAGGAACAACTCCAGCAGTCCTACAGGCTCCAGGAACAACTCCAGCAGTCCTACAGGCTCCAGGGACAACTCCAACAGCCCTATAGGCTCCAGGAACAACTCCAGCAGCCCTACAGGCTCCAGGAACAACTCCAGCAGCCCTACAGGCTCCAGGAACAACTCCAGCAGTCCTACAGGCTCCAGGAACAACTCCAGCAGCCCTACAGGCTCCAGGGACAACTCCAACAGCCCTACAGGCTCCAGGAACAACTCCAGCAGCCCTACAGGCAACAGGAACAACTCCAGCAACCCTACAGGCTCCAGGAACAACTCCAGCAGTCCTACAGGCTCCAGGAACAACTCCAGCAGCCCTACAGGCTCCAGGAACAACTCCAAGCCCTACAGGCTCCAGGAACAGCCCTACAGGCAACAGGAACAACTCCAGCAGCCCTACAGGCTCCAGGAACAACTCCAGCAGTCCTACAGGCTCCAGGAACAACTCCAGCAGCCCTACAGGCTCCAGGGACAACTCCAGCAGCCCTATAGGCTCCAGGAACAACTCCTGCAGCCCTACAGGCTCCAGGGACAACTCCAGCAGCCCTATAGGCTCCAGGAACAACTCAAGCAGCCCTACAGGCTCCAGGGACAACTCCAGCAGCCCTATAGGCTCCAGGGACAACTCCAGCAGCCCTACAGGCTCCAGGGACAACTCCAGCAGCCCTACAGGCAACAGGAACAACTCCAGCAGCCCTACAGGCTCCAGGAACAACTCCAGCAGCCCTATAGGCTCCAGGAACAACTCCAGCAGCCCTACAGGCTCCAGGAACAACTCCAGCAGCCCTACAGGCTCCAGGGACAACTCCAGCAGCCCTATAGGCTCCAGGAACAACTCCAGCAGCCCTACAGGCTCCAGGGACAACTCCAGCAGCCCTACAGGCTCCAGGGACAACTCCAGCAGCCCTACAGGCTCCAGGGACAACTCCAGCAGCCCTACAGGCTCCAGGCCCTATAGGCTCCAGGAACAACTCCAGCAGCCCTACAGGCTACAGGCTCCAGGGGCTCCTACAGGCTTCAGGGACAACTCCAGCAGTCCTACAGGCTCCAGGGACAACTCCAGCAGTCCTACAGGCTCCAGGACAACTCCAGCAGCCCTACAAGCTCCAGAGGCTGCCCTACAGGCTCCAGGGACAACTCCAGCCGCCCTACACAGCCGCCCTACACGCTCCAGGGACAACTCCAGGCTCCAGGGACACCTCCAGCAGTCCTACAGGCTCCAGCAGCAGTCCTACAGGCTCCAGGCTCCAGGGACAACTCCAGCAGCCCTACTCCAGGCTCCAGGGACAACTCCAGCAGACAACTCCACCTGCCCTACAGGCTCCAGGGACAACTCCAGACAACTCCAGCAGACAACTCCAGCAGTCCTACAGGCTCCAGAGACAACTCCACCTGCCCTACCTACAGGCTCCAGGGCAGCCCACACTCCAGAGACAACTCCAGCTGCCCTACAGGCTCCAGGGACACCTCCAGCCGCCCTACACGCTCCAGGGACAACTCCAGCAGTCCAGCAGGGACAACTCCAGCCCTACAGGCTCCAGGGACAACTCCAGCAGTCCTACAGGCTCCAGGGACAACTCCAGCAGTCCTACAGGCTCCAGGGACAACTCCAGCAGCCCTACAGGCTCCAGGGACAACTCCAGCAGCCCTACAGGCTCCAGGGACAACTCCAGCAGTCCTACAGGCTCCAGGGACCTCCAGCAGCCCTACACAGGCTCCAGGGACAACTCCAGCAGTCCTACAGGCTCCAGGGACAACTCAGCAGTCCTACAGGCTCCAGGGACAACTCCAGCAGTCCTACACAGGGCAGGCTCCAGGACCTCTACAGGCGCCACAGCAGTCCTACAGGCTCCAGGGGCAACTCCAGCAGCCCTATAGGCTCCAGGAACAACTCCAGCAGCCCTACACGCTCCAGGGACAACTCCAGCAGCCCTATAGGCTCCAGGGACAACTCCAGCAGTCCTACAGGCTTCAGGGACAACTCCAGCAGTCCTACAGGCTCCAGGGACAACTCCAGCAATCCTACAGGCTCCAGGGACAACTCCAGCAGCCCTACACAGGCTCCAGCTCCAGACAACTCCAGCAGTCCTACAGGCTCCAGGGACAACTCCAGCAGTCCTACAGGCTCCAGGGACAACTCCAACAGCCCTACAGGCTCCAGGAACAACTCCAGCAGCCCTACAGGCTCCAGGAACAACTCCAGCAGTCCTACAGGCTCCAGGGGCAACTCTAGCAGCCCTACAGGCTCCAGGGACAACTCCAGCAGCCCTACAGGCTCCAGAGACAACTCCAGCAGCCCTACAGGCTCCAGGGACAACTCCAGCAGCCCTACAGGCTCCAGGGACACCTCCAGCAGTCCTACAGGCTCCAGGGACAACTCCAGCAGTCCTACAGGCTCCAGAGACAACTCCAGCAGCCCTACAGGCTCCAGGGACAACTCCAGCAGTCCTACAGGCTCCAGGAACAACTCCAGCAGCCCTACAGGCTCCAGGGACAACTCCAGCAGCCCTACAGGCTCCAGGGACACCTCCAGCAGCCCTACAGGCTCCAGGGACACCTCCAGCAGCCCTACAGGCTCCAGGGACAACTCCATTGTTAATGGATTACTTAAATAACTTTCAACAAGGATCAATGAGCTCTATATACTGAGGGCTACAGGGATCAATGCCACTGGAGCCGGTCTCTGACCAGACTTAAAAAAGCATATTGTTTTAATTTGTCTATGTGTTCGAAACCTCGACCTCTGGTAAATAGTAGCTAGGGCTCCTCACCCCGTAGACAACATCAACACTATAGTAGCCAGGGCTCCTCACCCCGTAGACAACATCAACACAATAGTAGCCAGGGCTCTTCACCCGTTGACAACATCAACACAATAGTAGCCAGGGCTCTTCACCCGTAGACAACATCAACACAATAATAGCTAGGCTCCTCACCCCGTAGACAACATCAACACAATAGTAGCTAGGGCTCCTCACCCCGTAGACAACATCAACACTATAGTAGCCAGGGCTCCTCACCCCGTAGACAACATCAACACAATAGTAGCCAGGGCTCTTCACCCGTTGACAACATCAACACAATAGTAGCCAGGGCTCTTCACCCGTAGACAACATCAACACAATAATAGCTAGGCTCCTCACCCCGTAGACAACATCAACACAATAGTAGCTAGGGCTCCTTACCCCGTAGACAACATCAACACAATAGTAGCTAGGGCTCCTCACCCCGTAGACAACATCAACACAATAGTAGCTAGGGCTCCTCACCCCGTAGACAACATCAACACAATAGTAGCTAGAGCCTCTCATCCCGTAGACAACATCAACACAATAGTAGCTAGGGCTCCTCACCCCGTAGACAACATCAACACAATAGTGGCCAGGGCTCCTCACCCCGTAGACAACATCAACACAATAGTAGCTAGAGCCTCTCATCCCGTAGACAACATCAACACAATAATAGCCAGGGCTCCTCACCCCGTAGACAACATCAACACTATAGTAACTAGGGCTCCTCACCCCGTAGACAACATCAACACAATAGTAGCTAGGGCTCCTCACCCCGTAGACAACATCAACACAACAGTAGCTAGGGCTCCTCACCCCGTAGACAACATCAACACAATAGTAGCTAGGGCTCCTCACCCCGTAGACAACATCAACACAATAGTAGCCAGGGCTCTTCACCCGTTGACAACATCAACACAATAGTAGCCAGGGCTCTTCACCCGTAGACAACATCAACACAATAATAGCTAGGCTCCTCACCCCGTAGACAACATCAACACAATAGTAGCTAGGCTCCTCACCCCGTAGACAACATCAACACAATAGTAGCTAGAGCCTCTCATCCCGTAGACAACATCAACACAATAGTAGCCAGGGCTCCTCACCCCGTAGACAACATCAACACAATAGTAGCTAGGGCTCCTCACCCCGTAGACAACATCAACACAATAGTAGCTAGGCTCCTCACCCCGTAGACAACATCAACACAATAGTAGCTAGGGCTCCTCACCCCGTAGACAACATCAACACAATAGTAGCTAGGGCTCCTCACCCCGTAGACAACATCAACACTATAGTAGCCAGGGCTCCTCACCCCGTAGACAACATCAACATCACACTTACGCAATGTGCGTATCGAAAATAACATTTCTGAAGAATTTTTTACATTCCAGGCTCCTCGCCCGTAGACAACATCAACATCACACTTACGCAATGTGCGTATCGAAAATAACATTTCTGAAGAATTTTTTACATTCCAGGTTTGTCGCAAGTACACGGGAGGAAGATCCAGAGCTTCCAGGTGCTGGAGTCAAAGATTCTTCACGAGGAAGGAGACAGGTGAGCTTAACGTTGGACAGGCGACCTTCATTTAGGACAGGTGAGCTTAACGTTGGACAGGCGACCTTCATTTAGGACAGGTGAACTTAACATTGGACAGGCGACCTTCATTTAGGACAGGTGAGCTTAACGTTGGACAGGTGACCTTCATTTAGGACAGGTGAACTTAACATTGGACAGGCGACCTTCATTTAGGACTGGTGAGCTTAACGTTGGACAGGCGACCTTCATTTAGGACAGGTGAGCTTAACGTTGGACAGGCGACCTTCATTTAGGACAGGTGAGCTTAACGTTGGACAGGCGACCTTCATTTAGGACAGGTGAGCTTAACGTTGGACAGGCGACCTTCATTTAGGACAGGTGAGCTTAACGTTGGACAGGTGACCTTCATTTAGGACTGGGGACCTTTATGGACACTGAAAGTGATGTTCATATAAGTTTCTTAAAAGGGAACGGAGTTTATTCGAGAATGTAAAGTGTAGTCTTCAGGTAAACGCCGAGAGCTTAAACCACGGACACAATGAAAATAAACTAACGTGATACATCTATGAGAAGATCATTTGAGAAGGACGGTGCATCGAACCAGCGTCCTGGTAACCCCAGATGCGTCCCCTTAACCCATGGACCATTAGAGGGCCTGACGGCTCAGTGGATAGCGCTCGGTGTTCGTAGTCCTAAGGGTTTTGGGTTTGATCCCCGGAAGCAAAAAGAAATGGGCAGTTTCTTTCACCATGATGCATCTGTTCACCTAGCAGTAAATAGGTACCTGGGAGTTAGACAGCTGCTACGGGCTGCTTCCTGGAGATGTGTGTATTCACCTAGTTGTGTTCACCTAGTTTTCCTTGCGGAAGTTGAGCTTTGCTCTTTCGGGCCGTCTCTCAACTGTCAATCAATTGTTACTAACTACTAACTAATTTTTTCCACACACACGCCCAGGAGGAAGCTCCGTAACAGCTGTCTAACTCCCAGGTACTTATTTGCTGGTAGGTAACAGGGGGCATTCAGGGTGAAAGAAAAAGTGCCGTCGGGATGATGGGGCAAATAGCTTCGGCTACCATCATCATTTGTACGATCATGATGGTCGAGTGGTTATGGTCTCCTGAACACCAGTTGCATAGTGCTCCTGGCAGTATGGGTTCGAGTCACTTCTGGGGTGTGGAGTTATATATATATATATATATATATATATATATATATATATATATATATATATATATATATATATATATATATATATATATATATATATATATATATATATATATATAATGCTAAAGAATATATAGCCTGGGATCCGCCAGGAGTCTGGCGGTGGAGAAAAGGGTTCGAGTGAAAGATTATGTAACTAAACACTGATTTATTAGATTAATATAACACATTCCACACAATTCCTATACGTTAAGAGCGAGCATCACTGCCACAAGGGTAAACAAATAGGGAACTGGTCTCCCGCCATCAGTAAGGCCACAGAATAATTCTCACTGAATCACTCGTGATTTCTCTCTTTAGTACGGGTAAAAACAAGGCAAATCTACTGGTATACACAGTATACTACTAAGTATATATATAAGTGTATATACTAAGTGTATACTGACACACTTGTCAGGCGAAAATGCAAGCGATGCACAATAAAAATATCTCTGAATGTTAATTATCATCAAAGTACATACTAATGATTCATCAATAACCACTGAAATAGAAAACATTGTAACACTGAAAATTGTGGTGGAAAATGACCCTACATGTGTGTTCATATGATCGGACATAACACAGCTATAACGACCTGTCACGCAACACGTGACTAGGCTATAACGACCAGTAACATAACACATGACTAGGCTATAACGACCTGTCACGCAACACGTGACTAGGCTATAACGACCAGTAACATAACACATGACTGGGCTATAACGACCAGTAACATAACACAAGACTGGGCTATAACGACCAGTAACATAACACATGACTGGGCTATAACGACCATTAACATAACACATGACTGGGCTATAACGACCAGTAACATAACACATGACTGGGCTATAACGACCAGTAACATAACACAAGACTGGGCTATAACGACCAGCAACATAACACAAGACTGGGCTATAACGACCAGTAACATAACACATGACTGGGCTATAACGACCAGTAACATAACACAAGACTGGGCTATAACGACCAGTAACATAACACAAGACTGGGCTATAACGACCTGTCACAGCAAAACGTTACCTTGTCTAGCAGACCTCCGTCCGTTACAGACGCTGGTGTAGTTTACACTTTAGACATGGGCTTGTTTCCTAGGAATCAATCACTAGGTAGCAAGGACACTTTAACACTTGTGTAATTGGTTGGTTTCCCAAACTATGATGTCACTCCTTGCTAACGAGACACTATTATCCGATGCCAAGGTCGACACAGCTAAGATGATGGATTCACCTCACAGATGCCGCTGATGGCTACTTAATGCAGGCTAAAGGTCTAGGCAACCAGCTCCATAACTGTACAGCCAGTTCTTCGAGGCTGAAATTCACCATAAAGACCCCATTCATCCCCAGAAGTCTAGTATCAACTATTGACACAGATAATGGCTCTAAAGAGCCTCCATTTACGGGCTCACCATAGCCCGTGCTACTTGGAACTTTTGGTTCTGAGTAGCTGAATCTAACACAACAACAACAACAACGTTTAGAAGGCAACCCTCACAGCACACTCTGGGAAGCCAGACTTTTGTGCCAGACACAGTAACGCAAGTTCAGTGACAGCTGTTACACACATGTCTGGCGATAAACACTCATTTGTACACCTGGTTATTGTTCACTTGTACACCTGGATATTGTTCACTTGTTCACCTGGATATTGTTCACTGGTACACCTGGATATTGTTCACTTGTACACCTGGATATTGTTCACTTGTTCACCTGGATATTGTTCACTTGTACACCTGAATATTGTTCACTTGTACACCTGGATATTGTTCACTTGTACTCCTGGATGTTGTTCACTTGTACTCCTGGATGTTTTTCATTTGTTCACCTGGATATTGTTCACTTGTTCACCTGGATATTGTTCACTTATTCACTAGGATATTGTTCACTTGTTCACCTGGATATTGTTCACTTGTTCACCTGGATATTGTTCACTTATTCACTAGGATATTGTTCACTTGTTCACCTGGATATTGTTCATTTGTACACCTGAATATTGTTCACTTGTTCACCTGGATATTGTTCACTTATTCACTAGGATATTGTTCACTTGTTCACCAGGATACTGTTCACTTGTTCACCTGGATATTGTTCACTTATTCACTTGGATATTGTTCACTTATTCACTAGGATATTGTTCACTTGTTCACCTGGATATTGTTCACTTGTTCACTTGGATATTGTTCACTTATTCACTAGGATATTGTTCACTTGTTCACCTGGATATTGTTCACTTGTTCACCTGGATATTGTTCACTTGTACACCTGAATATTGTTCACTTGTTCACCTGGATATTGTTCACTTGTTCACCTGGATATTGTTCACTTGTTCACTTGAATATTGTTCACTTGTTCACCTGGATATTGTTCACTTGTTCACCTGAATATTGTTCACTTGTACACCTGGATATTGTTCACTTGTTCACCTGGATATTGTTCACTGGTACACCTGGATATTGTTCACTGGTACACCTGGATATTGTTCACTGGTACACCTGGTTATTGTTCACTTGTTCACCTGGATATTGTTTGCTGGTACACCTGGATATTGTTCACTTGTTCTCCTGGATATTGTTCACTGGTACACCTGGATATTGTTCACATGTTCACCATGGATATTGTTCACTGGTACACCTGGATATTGTTCACTTGTTCACCATGGATATTGTTCACTTGTTCACCTGGATATTGTTCACTTGTTTACCTGGATATTGTTCACTGGTACACCTGGATATTGTTCATTTGTACACCTGGATATTGTTCACTGGTACACCTGGATAGTGTTCACTGGTACACCTGGATATTGTTCACTTGTTCACCTGGATATTGTTCACTGGTACACCTGGTTATTGTTCACTTGTTCACCTGGATATTGTTCACTTGTTCACCTGGATATTGTTCACTGGTACACCTGGATATTGTTCACTTGTTCACCTGGATATTGTTCACTTGTTCATCTGGATATTGTTCACTGGTACACCTGGATATTTTTCACTGGTACACCTGGATATTGTTCACTTGTTCACCTGGATATTGTTCACTTGTTCACCTGGATATTGTTCACCTGGTACACCTGGATATTGTTCACTGGTACACCTGGATATTGTTCACTTGTTCACCTGGATATTGTTCACTGGTACACCTGGATATTGTTCACCTGGATATTGTTCACTTGTTCACCTGGATATTGTTCACTGGTACACCTGGATATTGTTCACTTGTTCACCTGGATATTGTTCACTGGTACACCTGGATATTGTTCACTTGTTCACCTGGATATTATTCACTGGTACACCTGGATATTGTTCACTTGTTCACCTGGATATTGTTCACTGGTACACCTGGATATTGTTCACTTGTTCACCTGGATATTGTTCACTTGTTCACCTGGATATTGTTCACTGGTACACCTGGATATTGTTCACTTGTTCACCTGGATATTGTTCACTTGTTCACCTGGATATTGTTCACTTGTTCACCTGGATATTGTTCACTGGTACACCTGGATATTGTTCACTTGTTCACCTGGATATTGTTCACTTGTTCACCTGGATATTGTTCACTGGTACACCTGGATATTGTTCACTAGTTCACCTGGATATTGTTCACTGGTACACCTGGATATTGTTCACTTGTTCACCTGGATATTGTTCACTGGTTCACCTGGATATTGTTCACTTGTTCACATGGATATTGTTCACTGGTACACCTGGATATTGTTCACTTGTTCACCTGGATATTGTTCACTGGTACACCTGGATATTGTTCACTTGTTCACCTGGATATTGTTCACTTGTTCACCTGGATATTGTTCACTTGTTCACCTGGATATTGTTCACTTGTTCACCTGGATATTGTTCACTTGTTCACCTGGATATTGTTCACTTGTTCACCTGGATATTGTTCACTGGTACACCTGGATATTGTTCACTTGTTCACCTGGATATTGTTCACTTGTTCACCTGGATATTGTTCACTCGTACACCTGGATATTGTTCACTTGTTCACCTGGATATTGTTCACTGGTACACCTGAATATTGTTCACTAGTACACCTGGATATTGTTCACTGGTACACTTGGATATTGTTCACTTGTTCACCTGGATATTGTTCACTGGTACACCTGGATATTGTTCACTTGTTCACCTGGATATTGTTCACTGGTACACCTGGATATTGTTCACTTGTTCACCTGGATATTGTTCACTGGTACACCTGGATATTGTTCACTTGTTCACCTGGATATTGTTCACTGGTACACCTGGATATTGTTCACTTGTTCACCTGGATATTGTTCACTGGTACACCTGGATATTGTTCACTTGTTCACCTGGATATTGTTCACTGGTACACCTGGATATTGTTCACTTGTTCACCTGGATATTGTTCACTGGTACACCTGGATATTGTTCACTTGTTCACCTGGATATTGTTCACTGGTACACCTGGATATTGTTCACTGGTACACCTGGATATTGTTCACTTGTTCACCTGGATATTGTTCACTTGTACACCTGGATATTGTTCACTTGTTCACCTGGATATTGTTCACTTGTTCACCTGGATATTGTTCACTTGTTCATCTGGATATTGTTCACTTGTTCACCTGGATATTGTTCACTTGTTCACCTGGATATTGTTCACTGGTACACCTGGATATTGTTCACTTGTTCACCTGGATATTGTTCACTTGTTCATCTGGATATTGGTTTTCAAATAATTTGTTATCTGCTCGAGGTTTGTCTGAAGGAAACCAAAGATATAATCAGTGTTGTTGTCGTGTTTCTCTTCGTCCTTGTGAAGGACATTGTGATGTTAATGTATATTGTTCCCTTGTACCAGACAGTGTCATTGTCACGCTTCCTTCACTCTGCTCTCTTCTTCCTTCACTTTTCTCTATCCTTCACTCTGCTCTCTGTTACCATTACTCTGCTCTCTGCTTCCTTAACTCTGTTATCTGCTTCCTTCATTCTGCTCTCTGCTTCCTTCACTCTGCTCTCTACTTCCTTCACTCTGTTCTCTGCTTCCTTCACTCTGTTGTCTGCTTCATTCACTCTGTTCTCTGCTTCCTTCACTCTGCTGTCTGCTTCCTTCACTCTGCTCTCTGCTTCCTTCACTCTGCTCTCTGCCTCCTTCACTCTGCTCTCTGCCTCCTTCCCTCTGCTCTCTGCCTCCTTCACTCCCCTCTTTTGTTTTGCTTCCTTCTCTCTGCTCTCTGCCTCCTTCACTCTGCTCTCTGCTTCCTTCCCTCTGCTCTCTGCCTCCTTCCCTCTGCTCTCTGCTTCCTTCCCTCTGCTCTCTGCCTCCTTCACTCTGCTCTCTGCCTCCTTCACTCCCCTCTTTTGTTTTGCTTCCTTCACTCTGCTCTCTGCCTCCTTCACTCTGCTCTCTGCCTCCTTCACTCTGCTCTCTGCTTCCTTCCCTCTGCTCTCTGCCTCCTTCACTCTGCTCTCTGCCTCCTTCCCTCTGCTCTCTGCCTCCTTCACTCCCCTCTTTGCTTCCTTCCCTCCTTCACTTTGCTTCCTTCCCTCCTTCACTCTGCTCTCTGCCTCCTTCACTCCCCTCTTTTGTTTTGCTTCCTTCACTCTGCTCTCTGCCTCCTTCACTCTGCTCTCTGCCTCCTTCACTCTGCTCTCTGCTTCCTTCCCTCTGCTCTCTGCCTCCTTCACTCTGCTCTCTGCCTCCTTCACTCTGCTCTCTGCCTCCTTCACTCTGCTCTCTGCTTCCTTCCCTCTGCTCTCTGCCTCCTTCACTCTGCTCTCTGCCTCCTTCCCTCTGCTCTCTGCCTCCTTCACTCCCCTCTTTTGTTTTGCTTCCTTCTCTCTGCTCTCTGCCTCCTTCACTCTGCTCTCTGCTTCCTTCCCTCTGCTCTCTGCCTCCTTCCCTCTGCTCTCTGCTTCCTTCCCTCTGCTCTCTGCCTCCTTCACTCTGCTCTCTGCCTCCTTCACTCCCCTCTTTTGTTTTGCTTCCTTCATTCTGCTCTCTGCTTCCTTCACTCTGCTCTCTGCCTCCTTCACTCTGCTCTCTGCTTCCTTCCCTCTGCTCTCTGCCTCCTTCACTCTGCTCTCTGCCTCCTTCCCTCTGCTCTCTGCCTCCTTCACTCCCCTCTTTTGTTTTGCTTCCTTCTCTCTGCTCTCTGCCTCCTTCACTCTGCTCTCTGCTTCCTTCCCTCTGCTCTCTGCCTCCTTCCCTCTGCTCTCTGCTTCCTTCCCTCTGCTCTCTGCCTCCTTCACTCTGCTCTCTGCCTCCTTCACTCTGCTCTCTGCCTCCTTCACTCTGCTCTCTGCCTCCTTCACTCCCCTCTTTTGTTTTGCTTCCTTCACTCTGATCTCTGCCTCCTTCACTCTGCTCTCTGCTTCCTTCCCTCTGCTCTCTGCCTCCTTCCCTCTGCTCTCTGCCTCCTTCACTCTGCTCTCTGCCTTCTTCACTCTGCTCTCTGCTTCCTTCACTCTGTTCTCTGCTCCACAGTCATGCCTCTTAATCTATGCTACTTTTGCTATGCTTATAGTTCCCTTCCCACTGCAGGTGGTCACAGATGGTGGAGGTGGGTGATCTTACTGTGTGTGTGTGTTGCAGGTGGTCACAGATGGTGGAGGTGGGTGATCTTACTGTGTGTGTGTGTTGCAGGTGGTCACAGATGGTGGAGGTGCAGGTGGGGGATGCTACAGGCCTGAAGTTCCAGCCCGGGGACCACGTCGGGCTGTTGCCAGTAAACAAACCAGTCATGGTGACCGCCCTTATTTCCAGACTGCTCCGCTCTACCGAAGTTAACAAGCCAGTCCAGATCTTCCTCAAACAACGCCAAGGAGCCACAGGTAGGGGTGTCCACACGGGGCTTGTAGGTTGGTACGTCTCCCATGGGCCCCATATGTTGGGGCGTTTATACGGGGCCCCATATGTAGGGTAGTTTATATGGGCCCCATAGATAGGGACTGCTTTATGAGAACCACAGGTAGGGATGTCTCCATAGACTCCATATGTAGGGACTGCCTCATGGGACCCACAGATAGGTACGCAATCATAGGACCCACATGTAGGCACTTCTCAATGGGACCCACATGTAGGCACTTCTCAATGGGACCCACATGTAGGCACGTCTCAATGGGACCCACATGTAGGCACTTCTCAATGGGACCCACATGTAGGGACGTCTTAATGGGACCCACATGAATGGACGTCTTAATGGGACCCCACATGTAGGGACGTCTCAATGGGACCCAGATGTAGGGACGTCTCAATGTGACCCACATGAATGGACGTCTAAATGGGACCCACATAAAGGGACGTCTCAGTGGGACCGACATGTAGGGATGTCTCAATGGGGCCCACCTGAATGGACGTCTTAATGGGACCCCACATATAGGGACGTCTCAATGGGACCCACATGTAGGGACGTTTTAATGGGGCCCACATGTAGGCAAGTTTCAATGGGGCCCACATTTAGGCACGTCTCAATGGGGCCCACATGTAGGGACGCCTCAATGGGGTCCACATGTAGGGACGTCTCAATGGGGCCCACATGTAGGCACGTCTCAATGGGGCCCACATGTAGGCAGGTCTCAATGGGGTTTACATGTAGGGACGTCTCAATGGGACCCACATGTAGGGACGCCTCAATGGGGTCCACATGTAGGCACGTCTCAATGGGACCCACATGTAGGCACGTCTCAATGGGACCCACATGTAGGGACGTCTCAATGGGACCCACATGTAGGGACGCCTCAATGGGGTCCACATGTAGGCACGTCTCAATGGGACCCACATGTAGGGACGTCTCAATGGGACCCACATGTAGGGACGTCTCAATGGGACCCACATGTAGGGACGCCTCAATGGGGTCCACATGTAGGCACGTCTCAATGGGGTCCACATGTAGGCACGTCTCAATGGGACCCACATGTAGGGACGTCTCAATGGGACCCACATGTAGGGACGTCTCAATGGGGTCCACATGTAGGCACGTCTCAATGGGACCCACATGTAGGGACGTCTCAATGGGGTCCACATGTGGGCAAGTGTCAATGGGACCCACATGTAGGGACGTCTCAATGGGGTCCACATGTAGGCAAGTCTCAATGGGGCCCACATGTAGGCACATCTCAATGGGGTCCACATGTGGGGATGTCTCAATGGGACCCACATGTAGGGACGTCTTAATAGAGCCAACATGTGTGTTACACTGCGTTATATTATGTGTTACATAATGTTAAATAATGTGATATGTTACATTACACTGTGCATGTACACAGTGGGTTCATGGTCACTAAAAGCATTCACCCGCTGTGTACTGACATATCCCTTCTGACAAGCATCACAGTGTGTTGACATACTACTGAGGGGAGGTAATCACTGTAAGTGTTTGAATACAACTGATGGCAGGCAATCTCTGTGTGTCATAATGTTCCTCTGAGGGGCAAGCAATAACAGAATTTGCTGACATCTCACTTAGGGTAAGCAATCACTGTAGGTGTTGACATCCCACCGAGGGTAAGCAATCACTGTAGGTGTTGACATCCAATCGAGGGTAAGCAATCACTGTAAGTTTTGACATGCCACCGAGGGTAAGCAATCACTGTAGGTGTTCATCCAACTGAGGGCAAGCAATTACTGTAGGTGTTGACATCCCACCGAGGGTAAGCAATCACTGTAGGTGTTGACATCCAACTGAGGGCAAGCAATCACTGTAAGTGTTGACATCCCACCGAGGGTAAGCAATCACTGTAAGTGTTGACAGCCCACCGAGGGTAAGCAATCACTGTAAGTGTTGACATTCCACTGAGGGCAAGCAACCAGTATATGACTACATCCTAAGAGGAAACAAATAATATGTTTATGTCCCTTTGAGGGCAAGGAACTAATATATATGTTAACGTCCTCATGGGGCAAGCATTCACTATGTGGTGACATCCCACTTAGGACAAGCAAGCATTAGATGAGTACATCGTCATGGGGTAAGCAATCACTGTGTTTACATCCCATCTTATCGTTCAGACTACTGTGTTAACATGACTAAATATCAGAGAACTAAACAGCAACGGTGACAACATGGGGTCACGAGACTGACTGTCAGTTATACCGTCTCGTGACAGGAGTGAGTTGGGAGCCTCACCCACACCTGCCCGTCGCCAGCGTCCGGGACCTGTTGTCTCGCTACCTGGACATTACCACGCCCCCCACGCCCGCCTTCCTCCTCCTCCTGGCCGCCCACGCCACCAACAACCGCCACGCCACCCGTCTCATCCAACTGGCCACGGTATGTCACCTTTGTTACCTTTGTCTTGCATGTGGTATGGTCATATCCTCGTGTCTTATCCAGGCACTTCGCCTGGCCGCTAGAGTGACCGCCTCAATACTTGCAAAGTCAGGGTTCGATCCCTGACGGCCCAAGTGGTTGGGTTCCATTCCTACCCTCCGACCTATCAAATATAATTGCCACATGCCTTCCAAGTACCTGACATAACCTCGCCTCTGTGTCGCATGTTTCACGGTGTGTTGGTTTCCTTGTTTGTCTCACAGAGCACCCCTTCACCAGCCTCACTCACAGAGCACCCCTTCACCTGCCTCACTCACAGAGCACCCCTTCACCAGCCTCACTCACAGAGCACCCCTACACCAGCCTCACTCACAGAGCACCCCTTCACCACCCTCACTCACAGAGCACCCCTTCACCAGCCTCACTCACAGAGCACCCCTTCACCAGCCTCACTCACAGAGCACCCCTTCACCAGCCTCACTCACAGAGCACCCCTTCACCTGCCTCACTCACAGAGCACCCCTTCACCTGCCTCACTCACAGAGCACCCCTACACCAGCCTCACTCACAGAGCACCGCTTCACCACCCTCACTCACAGAGCACCCCTTCACCAGCCTCACTCACAGAGCACCCCTTCACCACCCTCACTCACAGAGCACCCCTTCCCCTGCCTCACTCACAGAGCACCCCTACACCTGCCTCACTCACAGAGCACCCCTTCACCACCCTCACTCACAGAGCACCCCTTCACCAGCCTCACTCACAGAGCACCCCTTCACCACCCTCACTCACAGAGCACCCCTTCCCCTGCCTCACTCACAGAGCACCCCTACACCTGCCTCACTCACAGAGCACCCCTTCACCACCCTCACTCACAGAGCACTCCTTCACCTGCCTCACTCACAGAGCACCCCTTCACCACCCTCACTCACAGAGCACCCCTTCCCCTGCCTCACTCACAGAGCACCCCTTCCCCTGCCTCACTCACAGAGCACCCCTTCCCCTGCCTCACTCACAGAGCACCCCTACACCAGCCTCACTCACAGAGCACCCTTTCACCACCCTCACTCACAGAGCACCCCTACACCAGCCTCACTCACAGAGCACCCCTTCCCCTGCCACACTCACAGAGCCCCCTTCACCAGCCTCACTCACAGAGCACCCCTTCACCACCCTCACTCACAGAGCACCCCTTCACCAGCCACACTCACAGAGCCCCCTTCACCAGCCTCACTCACAGAGCACCCCTTCCCCTGCCTCACTCACAGAGCACCCCTACACCAGCCTCACTCACAGAGCACCCCTTCACCAGCCACACTCACAGAGCACCCCTTCACCAGCCTCACTCACAGAGCACCCCTTCCCCAGCCTCACTCACAGAGCACCCCTTCACCAGCCTCACTTACAGAGCACCCCTTCACCAGCCTCACTCACAGAGCACCCCTTCACAACCCTCACTCACAGAGCACCCCTACACCTGCCACACTCACAGAGCACCCCTACACCACCCTCACTCACAGAGCCCCCCTTCACCAGCCTCACTCACAGAGCACCCCTTCACCAGCCTCACTCACAGAGCACCCCTTCACCAGCCTCACTCACAGAGCACCCCTACACCAGCCTCACTCACAGAGCCCCCCTTCACCAGCCTCACTCACAGAGCCCCCCTTCACCAGCCTCACTCACAGAGCACCCCTTCACCAGCCTCACTCACAGAGCACCCCTTCACCAGCCTCACTCACAGAGCACCCCTTCACCACCCTCACTCACAGAGCACCCCTTCACCTGCCTCACTCACAGAGCACCCCTTCACCAGCCTCACTCACAGAGCCCCCCTTCCCCTGCCTCACTCACAGAGCACCCCTTCACCTGCCTCACTCACAGAGCACCCCTACACCAGCCTCACTCACAGAGCACCACCTTCACCAGCCACACTCACAGAGCACCCTTCACCAGCCACTCTCACAGAGCACCCTTCACCAGCCTCACTCACAGAGCACCCCTTCACCACCCTCACTCACAGAACACCCCTTCACCAGCCTCACTCACAGAGCACCCCTACACCAGCCTCACTCACAGAGCACCCCTTCACCACCCTCACTCACAGAACACCCCTTCACCACCCTCACTCACAGAGCACCCCTACACCAGCCTCACTCACAGAGCACCCCTTCACCACCCTCACTCACAGAGCACCCCTTCCCCTGCCTCACTCACAGAGCACCCCTTCACCTGCCTCACTCACAGAGCACCCCTTCACCAGCCTCACTCACAGAGCACCCCTTCACCACCCTCACTCACAGAGCACCCCTTCCCCTGCCTCACTCACAGAGCACCCCTTCACCTGCCTCACTCACAGAGCACCCCTACATCAGCCTCACTCACAGAGCACCCCTTTACCACCCTCACTCACAGAGCACCCCTTCCCCTGCCTCACTCACAGAGCACCCCTTCACCTGCCTCACTCACAGAGCACCCCTTCACCAGCCTCACTCACAGAGCACCCCTACACCAGCCTCATTCACAGAGCCCCCCTTCACCAGCCTCACTCACAGAGCCCCCCTTCACCAGCCTCACTCACAGAGCACCCCTTCACCAGCCTCACTCACAGAGCACCCCTTCAAAAGCCTCACTCACAGAGCACCCCTTCACCCGCCTCACTCACAGAGCCCCCCTTCACCAGCCTCACTCACAGAGCACCCCTAAACCAGCCTCACTCACAGAGCACCCCTTCACCACCCTCACTCACAGAACACCCCTTCACCACCCTCACTCACAGAGCACCCCTACACCAGCCTCACTCACAGAGCACCCCTTCACCACCCTCACTCACAGAGCCCCCCTTCACCAGCCTCACTCACAGAGCCCCCCTTCACCAGCCTCACTCACAGAGCACCACTTCACCAGCCTCACTCACAGAGCACCCCTTCAAATGCCGCACTCACAGAGCACCCCTTCACCACCCTCACTCACAGAGCACCCCTTCACCACCCTCACTCACAGAGCACCCCTTCACCACCCTCACTCACAGAGCACCCCTTCCCCTGCCTCACTCACAGAGCACCCCTACACCAGCCTCACTCACAGAGCCCCCCCTTCACCAGCCTCACTCACAGGGCACCCCCTTCACCAGCCTCACTCACAGAACACCCCTTCACCAGCCTCACTCACAGAGCACCCCTTCACCACCCTCACTCACAGAGCACCCCTTCACCACCCTCACTCACAGAGCACCCCTACACCAGCCTCACTCACAGAGCACCCCTTCCCCTGCCTCACTCACAGAGCACCCCTACACCAGCCTCACTCACAGAGCCCACCCTTCACCAGCCTCACTCACAGAGCATCCCCCCTTCACCAGCCTCACTCACAGAGCACCCCTTCACCAGCCTCACTCACAGAGCACCCCTTCACCAGTCTCACTCACAGAGCACCCCTTCACCAGTCTCACTCACAGAGCACCCCCTTTCATGGTATTCCCTCCTGGCAACATGGTATTCCCTCCTGGCAACATGGTATCCCCTCCTGGCAACATAGTATCCCCTCCTGGCAACAGGGTATTCCCTCCTGGCAACATAGTATCCCATCCTGGCAACATAGTATCCCCTCCTGGCAACATGGTATTCCCTCCTGGCAACATAGTATCCCCTCCTGGCAACATGGTATTCCCTCCTGGCAACATAGTATTCCCTCCTGGCAACATGGTATTCCCTCCTGGCAACATAGTATCCCCTCCTGGCAACATAGTATCCCCTCCTGGCAACATAGTATCCCCTCCTGGCAACATAGTATCCCCTCCTGGCAACATAGTATCCCCTCCTGGCAACATAGTATCCCCTCCTGGCAACATAGTATCCCCTCCTGGCAACATGGTATCCCCTCCTGGCAACATGGTATCCCCTCCTGGCAACATGGTATCCCCTCCTGGCAACATAGTATCCCCTCCTGGCAACATAGTATCCCCTCCTGGCAACATGGTATCCCCTCCTGGCAACATGGTATCCCCTCCTGGCAACATAGTATCCCATCCTGGCAACAGGGTACCACGTGCCAGCACTTGTGGTACTGGGACGTGGCTTGTAAGTGTGAATGAGTAGGGGCGGGCAGGGAGCCATGTGGCGTGCTCTCCTGGTCACTATGAAGCTGGAGCTGGAGCCTCTATGACCTGTGCCTCTGGAGCCTCTATGACCTGTGCCTCTGGAGCCTCTATGACCTGTGCCTCTGGAGCCTCTATGACCTGTGCCTCTGGAGCCTCTATGACCTGTGCCTCACCTGCAGGTGACCCTGGCGTCGACCAGTGGGTACTTTCTCATATATTTCCCCGTATGCTCCTCCAGGACCCTGAGGAGTACCAGCAGTGGAAGTCCAGGCATTATCCGCACCTGCTGGAGGTGTTGGAGGAGTTCCCCAGCGTGAAGGTGGAGGCAGGAGTGGTGGTGAGCGCCCTGCCACTCCTCCAGCCGAGGTATTACTCCATCAGCACCTCCCCGGACCTCCACCCAGGCCTCCTGCACCTCACCATCTCAGGCCTCCAGTACCGCACACGAGGTAAACTCCCTCTACCCTGCTACAGTCATTATACGATAATACGAGCTCGTCATATTGGTCAATAGTTCAACTCATTTATTCAAATCCGATATTTTGATAACATTGGTACAGTGGTTGATGATATATGAGTCAATGGTCTCGTTGTTGTCCCGCTGGACCACGGGTCAATGGTCTCGTTGTTGTCCCGCTGGACCACGGGTCAGTGGTCTCATTGTTGTCCCGCTGGACCACGGGTCAATGGTCTCGTTGTTGTCCCGCTGGACCACGGGTCAATGGTCTCATTGTTGTCCCGCTGGACCACGGGTCAATGGTCTCATTATTGTCCCGCTGGACCACGGGTCAATGGTCTCATTATTGTCCCGCTGGACCACGGGTCAATGGTCTCGTTGTTGCCCCGCTGGACCACGGGTCAATGGTCTCATTGTTGTCCCGCTGGACCACGGGTCAATGGTCTTGTTGTTGCTCCGCTGGACCACGGGTCAATGGTCTCATTGTTGTCCCACTGGACCACGGGTCAATGGTCTCATTATTGTCCCGCTGGACCACGGGTCAATGGTCTTGTTGTTGTCCCGCTGGACCACGGGTCAATGGTCTCATTGTTGTCCCACTGGACCACGGGTCAATGGTCTCATTATTGTCCCGCTGGACCACGGGTCAATGGTCTTGTTGTTGTCCCGCTGGACCACGGGTCAATGGTCTCATTATTGTCCCGCTGGACCACGGGTCAATGGTCTCATTATTGTCCCGCTGGACCACGGGTCAATGGTCTCATTATTGTCCCGCTGGACCACGGGTCAATGGTCTCGTTGTTGTCCCGCTGGACCACGGGTCAATGGTCTCATTGTTGCCCCGCTGGACCACGGGTCAATGGTCCTTAGCACAGTTACCCTGACGGCCAGGTAGATATTAGAGAAGTGAAAGGATTCACCCAGTACAAGGATGGAGCATGTATTAGCGTGATTTCCACGTTTATTGTGGCTTGTAGATGACATGACTAGCGCGTGGGTCACCTAAGGCCTCAAGTGATAACCCAGCAGAGGTTGGAAGTCCCAGTTGGATACCTGAGGTGTGTGTGTGACCCTCTCTTCTTGTGGGTGTTCGTAGTCACTTCGCTAGAGCTCCTGTCTTTCACTCCGATGGTACAAGTCAATTTTATATTCACTTACACCATCAGTGGTCTGAAAACTTTTGACCCCTTAAGGATTCGAACCCGGTCAACGTGGGCCTCTATGCCCCTTGGCATGTCCAGTACTATAACCACTCACCTACAGACTGCACAAAAGTATTAGGAAGGCGTCTGACTTTTAACCACAATACGCGACAAGGTTGGTGATGCTGATACGGCTACAGCTTGTTGGAGGGATTTTAATTTTTTTTTTAAATTTTGCCCCGAGGGGCGAGTTTGTGATGTGATAAAATATCTCTGGCTAAAATAGTTACGAGCGCTTGACCCACATATTTGTCCATGTTGACTTGATATATGTTTTTTTTTTTTCAAAATTGTCAATGTGTATTTTTCGTGTTTACAGATATTGCTGAATTTTTGTGATTAAAAAATATATATATATCTGAGGTTAATAAATATATACACAACATAATATTTTTTAGGCAGGAGTTCCTTCATATATGCATATTATTTTAAGAGTTCCACAAGGTTAAAATGTTAAGACACGGCGGCCAAGACACCAGTCTCTGTGGCCAAGACACCAGTCTCTGTGGCCAAGACACCAGTCTCTGTGGCCAAGACACTAGTCTCTGTGGCCAAGACACTAGTCTCTGTGGCCAAGACACTAGTCTCTGTGGCCAAGACACTAGTCTCTGTGGTCAAGACACCAGTCTCTGTGGCCAAGACACTAGTCTCTGTGGCCAAGACACCAGTCTCTGTGGCCAAGACACTAGTCTCTGTGGCCAAGACACTAGTCTCTGTTGCCAAGACACCAGTCTCTGTGGCCAAGACACTAGTCTCTGTGGCCAAGGTACCAGTCTCTGTGGCCAAGACACCAGTCTCTGTGGCCAAGACACTAGTCTCTGTGGCCAAGACACTAGTCTCTGTGGCCAAGACACTAGTCTCTGTGGCCAAGACACTAGTCTCTGTGGCCAAGACACTAGTCTCTGTGGCCAAGACACCAGTCTCTGTGGCCAAGACACTAGTCTCTGTGGCCAAGACACTAGTCTCTGTGGCCAAGACACTAGTCTCTGTGGCCACTAGTCTCTGTGGTCAAGACACCAGTCTCTGTGGCCAAGACACTAGTCTCTGTGGCCAAGACACCAGTCTCTGTGGCCAAGACACTAGTCTCTGTGGCCAAGACACTAGTCTCTGTGGCCAAGACACTAGTCTCTGTGGCCAAGATACTAGTCTCTGTGGTCAAGACACCAGTCTCTGTGGCCAAGACACTAGTCTCTGTGGCCAAGACACCAGTCTCTGTGGCCAAGACACTAGTCTCTGTGGCCAAGACACTAGTCTCTGTGGCCAAGACACTAGTCTCTGTGGCCAAGACACTAGTCTCTGTGGCCAAGACACTAGTCTCTGTGGTCAAGACACTAGTCTCTGTGGCCAAGACACTAGTCTCTGTGGCCAAGACACTAGTCTCTGTGGCCAAGACACTAGTCTCTGTGGCCAAGACACTAGTCTCTGTGGCCAAGACACTAGTCTCTGTGGCCAAGACACTAGTCTCTGTGGCCAAGACACTAGTCTCTGTGGCCAAGACACTAGTCTCTGTGGCCAAGACACTAGTCTCTGTGGCCAAGACACTAGTCTCTGTGGCCAAGACACTAGTCTCTGTGGCCAAGACACTAGTCTCTGTGGCCAAGACACTAGTCTCTGTGGCCAAGACACTAGTCTCTGTGGCCAAGACACTAGTCTCTGTGGCCAAGACACTAGTCTCTGTGGCCAAGACACTAGTCTCTGTGGCCAAGACACTAGTCTCTGTGGCCAAGACACTAGTCTCTGTGGCCAAGACACTAGTCTCTGTGGCCAAGACACTAGTCTCTGTGGTGGCCAAGACACTAGTCTCTGTGGCCAAGACACTAGTCTCTGTGGCCAAGACACTAGTCTCTGTGGCCAAGACACTAGTCTCTGTGGCCAAGACACTAGTCTCTGTGGTCAAGACACTAGTCTCCAAGACACTAGTCTCTGTGGCCAAGACAGTCTCTGTGGCCAAGACACTAGTCTCTGTGGCCAAGACACTAGTCTCTGTGGCCAAGACACTAGTCTCTGTGGCCAAGACGCTAGTCTCTGTGGCCAAGACACTAGTCTCTGTGGCCAAGACACTAGTCTCTGTGGCCAAGACACTAGTCTCTGTGGCCAAGACACTAGTCTCTGTGGCCAAGACACTAGTCTCTGTGGCCAAGACACTAGTCTCTGTGGCCAAGATACTAGTCTCTGTGGCCAAGACACTAGTCTCTGTGGCCAAGACACTAGTCTCTGTGGCCAAGACGCTAGTCTCTGTGGCCAAGACACTAGTCTCTGTGGCCAAGACACTAGTCTCTGTGGCCAAGACACCAGTCTCTGTGGCCAAGACACCAGTCTCTGTGGCCAAGACACTAGTCTCTGTGGCCAAGACACTAGTCTCTGTGGCCAAGACACCAGTCTCTGTGGCCAAGACACTAGTCTCTGTGGCCAAGACACTAGTCTCTGTGGCCAAGACACTAGTCTCTGTGGCCAAGACACTAGTCTCTGTGGCCAAGACACTAGTCTCTGTGGCCAAGATACTAGTCTCTGTGGCCAAGATACTAGTCTCTGTGGCCAAGACACTAGTCTCTGTGGCCAAGACACTAGTCTCTGTGGCCAAGACACTAGTCTCTGTGGCCAAGACACTAGTCTCTGTGGCCAAGACACCAGTCTCTGTGGCCAAGACACCAGTCTCTGTGGCCAAGACACCAGTCTCTGTGGCCAAGACACTTGTCTCCGTGGCCAAGACAGCTGTCACCAGGTGGCACTACATAGACGCAGGTAGCCAGCTGTCACCAGGTGGTACAACATAGACACAGGTAGCCAGCTGTCACCAGGTGGTACAACATAGACACAGGTAGCCAGCTGTCACCAGGTGGTACAACATAGACACAGGTAGCCAGCTGTCACCAGGTGGTACAACATAGACACAGGTAGCCAGCTGTCACCAGGTGGTACAACATAGACACAGGTAGCCAGCTGTCACCAGGTGGTACAACATAGACACAGGTAGCCAGCTGTCACCAGGTGGTACAACATAGACACAGGTAGCCAGCTGTCACCAGGTGGTACAACATAGACACAGGTAGCCAGCTGTCACCAGGTGGTACAACATAGACACAGGTAGCCAGCTGTCACCAGGTGGTACAACATAGACACAGGTGGCCAGCTGTCACCAGGTGGTACAACATAGACACAGGTAGCCAGCTGTCACCAGGTGGTACAACATAGACACAGGTAGCCAGCTGTCATCAGGTGGTACAACATAAACACAGGTAGCCAGTTGTCACCAGGTGGTATAACATAGACACAGGTGGCCAGCTGTCACCAGGTGGTATAACATAGACACAGGTGGCCAGCTGTCACCAGGTGGTACTACAGTTGTCATAAGTGTGGCTGCATCGCCCGCAGGAGGAGCCGGCGCCGTGCACCAGGGCGTCGCCACCGGCTTCCTCAAGTACATCGCACCCACCGACACCCTCGAACTCTTCCATAGAAGGTGAGTCCTCCATAGAAGGTGAGTCCTCCATAGAAGGTGAGTCCTCCATAGAAGGTGAGTCCTCCATAGAAGGTGAGTCCTCCATAGAAGGTGAGTCCTCCATAGAAGGTGAGTCCTCCATAGAAGGTGAGTCCTCCATAGAAGGTGAGTCCTCCATAGAAGGTGAGTCCTCCATAGAAGGTGAGTCCTCCATAGAAGGTGAGTCCTCCATAGAAGGTGAGTCCTCCATAGAAGGTGAGTCCTCCATAGAAGGTGAGTCCTCCATAGAAGGTGAGTCCTCCATAGAAGGTGAGTCCTCCATAGAAGGTGAGTCCTCCATAGAAGGTGAGAAGGTGAGTCCTCCATAGAAGGTGAGTCCTCCATAGAAGGTGAGTCCTCCATAGAAGGTGAGTCCTCCATAGAAGGTGAGTCCTCCATAGAAGGTGAGTCCTCCAAAGAAGGTGAGTCCTCCATAGAAGGTGAGTCCTCCATAGAAAGTGAGTCCTCCATAGAAGGTGAGTCCTCCATAGAAGATGAGTCCTCCATAGAAGGTGAGTCCTCCATAGAAGGTAAGTCCTCCAAAGAAAGTGAGTCCTCCATAGAAGGTGAGTCCTCCATAGAAGGTGAGTCCTCCATAAAAGGTGAGTCCTCCATAGAAGGTGAGTCCTCCATAGAAGGTGAGTCCTCCATAGAAGATGAGTCCTCCATAGAAGGTGAGTCCTCCATAGAAGGTGAGTCCTCCATAGAAGGTAAGTCCTCCAAAGAAAGTGAGTCCTCCATAGAAGGTGAGTCCTCCATAGAAGGTGAGTCCTCCATAGAAGATGAGTCCTCCATAGAAGGTGAGTCCTCCATAGAGGGTGAGTCCTCCATAGAAGGTGAGTCCTCCATAGAAGGTGAGTCCTCCATAGAAGGTGAGTCCTCCATAGAAGGTGAGTCCTCCATAGAAGATGAGTCCTCCATAGAAGGTGAGTCCTCCATAGAAGGTGAGTCCTCCATAGAAGGTGAGTCCTCCATAGAAGGTAAGTCCTCCATAGAGGGTGAGTCCTCCATAGGAGGTGAATCCTCCATAGAGGGTGAGTCCTCCATAGGAGGTGAGTCCTCCATAGAAGGTGAGTCCTGCCTGAAAGCAACTTAAGGCTCTCCTATGTACTATGGTCCTTCACAGTCTATGATGACTTGGTCTGTTTGGACCAGTGGTCTGAGGCTTGTCTGGCTATATTGTCCGTTGGTCTGCCAGACATCCGTACTGCCTCTGCCTGCCGCTAATATTACTAAAGTCACAGAAAATGTGCCTTAAACTCTCGTCCAATCAGTTAAACATCGGCCTAAGGAAAAAAATATGAAAACCGTCATTTGGAAAAGTCGATAAATTATTAGATGATTGTAAATTATTAAGGGAAAAGCACGATGGTATGTGAAATATAGAGTCGCAAAGCGAATCTGGATTTCCAAAATACCACCTTGTAATATACCAACATTTCTATGAAGTCCGTAGAGAAGACGGGCTCGCCATAGCCCGTGCTACTTGGAACTTTGTTCCAGGTACCGAATCTTTAACAACCTGGACGGAGCTGCTAGTGTGAGGGAGGCTGACCTGGACGGAGCTGCTAGTGTGAGGGACCTGACCAGGACGGAGCTGCTAGTGTGAGGGTCGGGCTGACCAGGACGGAGCTGCTAGTGTGAGGGACGGACTGACCTGGACGGAGCTGCTAGTGTGAGGGACGGGCTGACCGGGACGGAGCTGCTAGTGTGAGGGACGGGCTGACCTGGACGGAGCTGCTAGTGTGAGGGACGGGCTGACCTGGACGGAGCTGCTAGTGTGAGGGACGGGCTGACCTGGACGGAGCTGCTAGTGTGAGGGACGGGCTGACCGGGACGGAGCTGCTAGTGTGAGGGACGGGCTGACCTGGACGGAGCTGCTAGTGTGAGGGACGGGCTGACCAGGGACGGAGCTGCTAGTGTGAGGGACGGGCTGACCAGGGACGGAGCTGCTAGTGTGAGGGACGGGCTGACCTGGACGGAGCTGCTAGTGTGAGGGACGGGCTGACCTGGACGGAGCTGCTAGTGTGAGGGACGGGCTGACCTGGACGGAGCTGCTAGTGTGAGGGACGGGCTGACCTGGACGGAGCTGCCAGTGTGAGGGACGGGCTGACCTGGACGGAGCTGCTAGTGTGAGGGACGGGCTGACCTGGACGGAGCTGCCAGTGTGAGGGACGGGCTGACCTGGACGGAGCTGCTAGTGTGAGGGACGGGCTGACCTGGACGGAGCTGCTAGTGTGAGGGACGGGCTGACCTGGACGGAGCTGCTAGTGTGAGGGACGGGCTGACCAGGACGGAGCTGCTAGTGTGAGGGACGGGCTGACCTGGACGGAGCTGCTAGTGTGAGGGACGGACTGACCAGGACGGAGCTGCTAGTGTGAGGGACGGGCTGACCTGGACGGAGCTGCTAGTGTGAGGGACGGGCTGACCAGGGACGGAGCTGCTAGTGTGAGGGACGGGCTGACCTGGACGGAGCTGCTAGTGTGAGGGACGGGCTGACCTGGACGGAGCTGCTAGTGTGAGGGACGGGCTGACCTGGACGGAGCTGCTAGTGTGAGGGACGGGCTGACCTGGACGGAGCTGCTAGTGTGAGGGACGGGCTGACCTGGACGGAGCTGCTAGTGTGAGGGACGGGCTGACCAGGGACGGAGCTGCTAGTGTGAGGGACGGGCTGACCGGGACGGAGCTGCTAGTGTGAGGGACGGGCTGACCTGGACGGAGCTGCTAGTGTGAGGGACGGGCTGACCAGGGACGGAGCTGCTAGTGTGAGGGACGGGCTGACCTGGACGGAGCTGCTAGTGTGAGGGACGGGCTGACCTGGACGGAGCTGCTAGTGTGAGGGACGGGCTGACCTGGACGGAGCTGCTAGTGTGAGGGACGGGCTGACCTGGACGGAGCTGCTAGTGTGAGGGACGGGCTGACCAGGGACGGAGCTGCTAGTGTGAGGGACGGGCTGACCTGGACGGAGCTGCTAGTGTGAGGGACGGGCTGACCTGGACGGAGCTGCTAGTGTGAGGGACGGGCTGACCTGGACGGAGCTGCTAGTGTGAGGGACGGGCTGACCAGGGACGGAGCTGCTAGTGTGAGGGACGGGCTGACCAGGGACGGAGCTGCTAGTGTGAGGGACGGGCTGACCTGGACGGAGCTGCTAGTGTGAGGGACGGGCTGACCTGGACGGAGCTCCTAGTGTGAGGGACGGGCTGACCTGGACGGAGCTGCTAGTGTGAGGGACGGGCTGACCTGGACGGAGCTGCTAGTGTGAGGGACGGGCTGACCTGGACGGAGCTGCTAGTGTGAGGGACGGGCTGACCTGGACGGAGCTGCTAGTGTGAGGGACGGGCTGACCAGGGACGGAGCTGCTAGTGTGAGGGACGGGCTGACCTGGACGGAGCTGCTAGTGTGAGGGACGGGCTGACCTGGACGGAGCTGCTAGTGTGAGGGACGGACTGACCTGGACGGAGCTGCTAGTGTGAGGGACGGGCTGACCAGGGACGGAGCTGCTAGTGTGAGGGACGGGCTGACCTGGACGGAGCTGCTAGTGTGAGGGACGGGCTGACCTGGACGGAGCTGCTAGTGTGAGGGACGGACTGACCTGGACGGAGCTCCTAGTGTGAGGGACGGGCTGACCAGGGACGGAGCTGCTAGTGTGAGGGACGGGCTGACCTGGACGGAGCTGCTAGTGTGAGGGACGGGCTGACCTGGACGGAGCTGCTAGTGTGAGGGACGGGCTGACCGGGACGGAGCTACTAGTGTGAGGGACGGGCTGACCTGGACGGAGCTCCTAGTGTGAGGGACGGGCTGACCAGGGACGGAGCTGCTAGTGTGAGGGACGGGCTGACCTGGACGGAGCTGCTAGTGTGAGGGACGGGCTGACCTGGACGGAGCTGCTAGTGTGAGGGACGGGCTGACCTGGACGGAGCTGCTAGTGTGAGGGACGGGCTGACCAGGACGGAGCTGCTAGTGTGAGGGACGGGCTGACCTGGACGGAGCTGCTAGTGTGAGGGACGGGCTGACCTGGACGGAGCTGCTAGTGTGAGGGACGGACTGACCAGGGACGGAGCTGCTAGTGTGAGGGACGGGCTGACCAGGACGGAGCTGCTAGTGTGAGGGACGGGCTGACCAGGACGGAGCTGCTAGTGTGAGGGACGGGCTGACCTGGACGGAGCTGCTAGTGTGAGGGACGGACTGACCAGGGACGGAGAAGCTAGTGTGAGGGACGGGCTGACCAGGACGGAGCTGCTAGTGTGAGGGACGGGCTGACCTGGACGGAGCTGCTAGTGTGAGGGACGGGCTGACCAGGACGGAGCAGCTAGTGTGAGGGACGGGCTGACCAGGACGGAGCTGCTAGTGTGAGGGACGGGCTGACCTGGACGGAGCAGCCAGTGTGAGGGACGGGCTGACCGGGACGGAGCAGCCAGTGTGAGGGACGGGCTGACCAGGACGGAGCAGCTAGTGTGAGGGACGGGCTGACCAGGACGGAGCAGCTAGTGTGAGGGACGGGCTGACCAGGACGGAGCAGCTAGTGTGAGGGACGGGCTGACCTGGACGGAGCAGCTAGTGTGAGGGACGGGCTGACCTGGACGGAGCAGCCAGTGTGAGGGACGGGCTGACCAGGACGGAGCAGCCAGTGTGAGGGACGGGCTGACCAGGGACGGAGCTGCTAGTGTGAGGGACGGGCTGACCTGGACGGAGCTGCTAGTGTGAGGGACGGGCTGACCGGGACGGAGCAGCCAGTGCCGAGTTACCAGGACGAGGGTTCAGTTTGAGGAACGTTACTGACAGGTTCCCGGTGTCTCTATAATCTCAGCAAACAACTCAGAAACACGTATAATCTCAGCAAACAACCCAGAAACAGGTATAATCTCAGCAAACAACTCAGAAACACGTATAATCTCAGCAAACAACCCAGAAACAGGTATAATCTCAGCAAACAACTCAGAAACACGTATAATCTCAGCAAACAACTCAGAAACAAGTATAATCCAATAAACTAAAGTTTCAGATAAAAAGCAAATCAAAAAAATATACAAGAAGCAACATTAGATATGTTGAGAGTTACGAGGCCTAGAGGTGCAGCCACAGTCATCAACCACCTGCTCCAAGTCTTACATATATGTAAAGATATGTAAATTGGTTACATTATCTCACTGGGCCATTAAGTCCCATTCATATATCTGCCTAACTCATGCGTGAGTTGCTTCTATGACGTTACTTGGTAATTTGTCCCTTAAATTTGCAACCATATATTCTAAATCAACTTTGGCTTTTTTCTCTTCTAAATCTAAATTTATGAAATGGTAATTTTTGATTTCGTGTTCGAACTTGGAATGAGTGTCCACTTTCAGGGTTTATACACCTTTATTATGCTCTCTCATCTGCTGGTTGAAATTGAAATTGAAATTGAAATAAGTTTATTGAGGTAAAATACACACAAAGGATTGAGGTAGCTCAAGCTATTCTCACCCCATTCAGTACAACGTGTTAATATATACATAGACACACATCACAAATAAACACATTACCAAACATTCTGAGAGATAAACATATACATTTCCTCCTTCACAAGTAGTATGGAATCAGACGTACACACAAATACTTTTATGACCGAGGTATACTGTATAGACAATCTACTGGTTGTCATTCGTTTAATGCCCCCTACTCACGCGTTTTATTTATCTTTCTTTATATTTAATATGTGAGGAATTTTTGTTTCCTGAGATTATTGTATACTCTATCTTGAGGTTATCTTGAGATGATTTCGGAGCTTAGCGTCCCCGCGGCCCGGTCCACGACCAGGCCTCCTTTTTGTTACACACCCTCTAGGAAGCAGCCCGTAGCAGCTAACTCCCAGGTACCTATTTACTGCTAGCTAACAGGGGTATCAGGGTGTAAGAAACATTTTGTCCATTTGTCTCCGCCTCCACCGGGGATCGAACCCGGAACCTCAGGACTACGAATCCGAAGCGCTGTCCACCCAGCTGTCAGGCGCCTATATCATATATTTTAGTCTGAACATAAATTGTGTAAACATTGTGTTCAAAACTGTTCAGCATATTACCAGTGGGTCTCACAGGAGCAGGGTAAATATGAAGAATGATAATGAGTTTATTACAAAAGCTTCTAGATATAAATCCTAGTACTTTGTTAGTCTCATTTTTACTCTTAATATAGTTTTTCTTGGCTTGAGATTCCTACTAATAATTTAATGGCTTTAAAGGATCTAGAGATGATTTAGCTAATGTATATCTTTATTTAGGCTTGTGTGTGGAGGTTGTGTTCTCTCCTCCCTGGCTTGTACCACAACAGTTCTCAGCACTCAACAGCATCTGAAACTTTTAGTTTAATTATGAAAGTGTATTGATGTCTTTCTACAAAGTTTCTTGATCACCGAATGAGTTTATTACCCGTTATTTGTTAGAATTGTAAACCAATTTAGTTGATGGTCACTTTAGTCTCAAAGTCATTTATGTATCCGGGTGAAGGATAAAGGTACCGGGCACATCCCTGGGGCCCCACACGCCACGGTGCTACACTCTCATTTTGCTACATTTATACTAACTGGTCCTTTTACCTGTGTGGTAACATACTCTGATCCAGTCTAGAACACCGTGCTCCTCTTTATTTCTTAATAATATTTCGTTAGGAAAAGGTCAAAATTCAAACCACTTTCCACGTCATTATCTCAGCAAACTTTACCACTGCATACTGCTTTAAATATGCTTGAATTATGTATAATAAATTTATGAAAATGGTCGTCTTTTCGTATATTCGCATTTCAAAGTTGCATTAATCTGTGTTCTAGCGGAGGGCTACGAATGACATTTACGATTATCTCTTCAAGTAATTTTCCATGAATTGATTATAAACAAATTGGATGATAGTTTGATATAAGACATGCATTTACCTTTTAATTACCCAGGATGATATTAACAACCTTCCACGGGTCTGCCAGAGGCCTTTAATTGTAATAATTTATTTAATATATTTTTACGATCTTTCAAATACTTCGTCAGGCCCGGAGACTTAAATGTTTTAGACAAGAGTATATGTATCGTGGCATGACCTCTTGAACTGTCCAAGGTCACGTGTTGTGGTCTCACATGATCACCGACAATGATCTTGGCCAGGGGAGCCGGTCGGCCGAGCGGACAGCACACTGGACTTGTGATCCTGTGGTCCTGGGTTCGATCCCAGGCGCCGGCGAGAAACAATGGGCAAAGTTTCTTTCACCCTATGCTCCTGTTACCTAGCAGTAAAATAGGTACCTGGGTGTTAGTCAGCTGTCACGGGCTGCTTCCTGGGGGTGGAGGCCTGGTCGAGGACCGGGCCGCGGGGACACTAAAGCCCCGAAATCATCTCAAGATAGGAGCATTTTGCAGGCCTGGACTGTTTACTATATCCCGTGTGCTAGTTTAAAGAAAAATATATATGTATCAAAATTTATTGTACCTCATTGGTGCCATACTTGTACTAAGAGGCTTACTTTCAGTGCTACCAACTTCCACTTGCCGAAGAACCCCAGAGTACCTGTGGTGATGATCGCGGCTGGCAGCGGGATTGCTCCCTTCAGAGGCTTCTGGCAACACTATCACCACGTGAGAACTCAGCGTAAAGGTGAATAACACTAATTCAGTTCTGTGGGTTGACTCGAGGTAGAGTAGTTTAAGGTGTGTAGGGTAACTGGTCCATTCTCTTATGCATTTTAATACACTGAATAGCGACTGCTTGGCTTTATGCATGGTCGGCATTCAGTTGCTGATGGTTCAAGTGGACGAGCACCGTTATGCACTCTATTCGCACATCCTGTTTGACTCGGAGTACAGTCTACATCTGCCATCTTGTAGCGTCCTGACAGTCTCGCATGTATACCACACAGACTAAATGGCTTTCAATAAGTGCCATTTTTATTATAGCGTTTATACGACTAATATATCTAAGGGAACCAAGATAGGAATGTGCCTTAATGGTAAGAGTGAGTGCCCTGAGAGATACAAGCAAAGTGCTGTCAATGCCTATGTCACCCGCGCCTCTAAACACAGCTCAGGTTAGAAGCAGGTCGACGAGGAACTCGGCAGAGTAAGGCAGGTCCTGATCAATAATGGATACTCTAAGGGATATATCAAGGAAATCATAAAAAGGAAGGTTAGCCGCCATGTGACTTCAGATACAAGAAACAACAGCACATCATTGGTCCCTGCTATTATAATATTCTTCAGAACTTATCCAGGGCCCACAAAACGGAAGAGAGGGTCCTGAATTATTGATAGAAATGTGACCCCTACTGACACCATCCAGAAGATTGACCTAATAATAAACTATAGGAACAAGAGGACTGCCAACATGCTCATGAAGAACTATCCTGAAACCAAATAAATGACGAATGAATGTTGTCCTCACATGCCCACTTGGGGACTGTCAGCCTCAACCAACTCAATATATTGACAAGACAACATCATCCTTTTCAAGATGCCTAACAAGTAACAAGCAGCAAGGACGTATGAGAGAACATATAGTCTCTTCATAACCAGACCATCACCAGAGAAATACTCTCAAACAACACCAAAATAATCGTCAGATATAGCGACAACAGATGACTGGACATCTACGAGGCATGCAGGCGATGAGTCACAATAACGTGGCTAAAGTATATTGACCAGACCACACACTAGAAGGTGAAGGGACGACGATGTTTCGGTCCGTCCTGGACCATTCTCAAGTCGATTGTCTAAGGTTTGTAGGGTAATGAAAAGTCGTCGTCCCTTCACCCACTTGTGTGTGGTCTGGTCAATCTACGAGGCATTATACATAAAGCAAACCAAGCCATGCATCAATAGCCACCTTGCACCAAATTACACTCTGCCAACATCCAGAACACGATGGAACACACAGCATACTGCACCAGTCATCATGCAAACACCACAGTGACAATGTTGCTGTTGTTTCTGATTCAGCTACTCAGAACAAAAAGTTCCAAGTAACACGGTCTATGGTGAGCCTGTAAGTGGAGGCTCTTTGGAGCTATTATCTGTATCAATAGCTGATACTGAAGATCAGGGGATGGGGCTCGTTGTACCACTTATGGAGCTGGTGGGTTAGTATAGATCTCTAGTTCTTCCGTTTTTTCTTTGGCTGAGCTTTGCTGCGAGTTGATATGGCCGCGCTGTCGTCGGAGTTTGGTGAGGTGGCCTCCATGAGGAGGTCTTGTATTGAGTAGGTGTCGTATTTGTGGTGCGGCGGTGGAGCTCCAACTAAGATTTCTTTGTCTGAAGAGTCTGTAACATCCATAGTTGGTGGTTTTGTCTTTTGTCTCGCAGTCTGAGGTAGGCTCAGGTGTCGGGGATTAGTAGTAGAAGCTATTTCAGGAGCTTTAGTGGTGCTGTTAGTAGTTGAAGACAGCACAGTGAGATGCTAGCTAGCTAGCAACGTCCTGGTGCTAGCTAGCTAACAACTGCTGAGATAGTGGTGGTAGCGCATCTGCTGAGATGGTGATGGTAGGAGTGTTGGAAGGTGGAGAGGGAAATACCTCTGTTTGTGCCAGTCGGGTCTTGGGTGGTTCTAGTGACTGTGTTGAAATCGACCTCGTGGTCGCCGTGGTGGTAGTCTCCAGAGTGGTAGTGGAGGCAATGAGACTTGCGTCCGGGGCGATGATGGGGTCCAGGCCATTGATTAGGTACAGCATGTTGAGTTCCTTGACGAATCGTTGATTGTCTGGTACGGCCAGCCTCTCCGCTAGTCGAATAAGACCAGGGATAATGCCTGCACGTGATGCAAAGTACTACGAGGATGCTAGTTAGTTCTTAGGTTCCCAGTGTGGAGGCCGAGTGATCTGTTGGGAGGAACCACTGTTTGGTAGGACTGATACGGTCGCCGTCTGCATCTGGCTTATAGAAGGCAGGCTCGGAAACTGGTCAAGTCCAAGATCTAAAGTCGCGGTGACTTGCCTCTGGGTGGTCGGCGGCATAGTGATTTTCTCTTTAATTTTTTTCAGTTCCTCCTTCCTTTTTTGCAGAGGTAGGAGGTGGCGACATACTGTTCTCCACAGTTACCGCATTCCTTGGTGGTAGCGGTACAGTCCTTGTAGTTGTGAGTGCCGGAGCATGAGCTGCACTTATCCATTTGTTCCGGGCACTTGTTGTAGAAGTGTTCATAGCTGAAGGACTTGTAGCACTGTCTCACGTTGTAGACCTTCTCCATGGCGATCTAGTTTGGGGGAGGTGATTCTAAAGCACTTGAAACCATTCTTCACTGCTTCCTAGGCCTGTTATGCTGTTTCGAAGGTCATCTTTATCGTGGGTGGAGTGACATCGTTAGTCTTGATCATTAGAGCTGTCGTCGCTTTCAAAGTACGGTTTTCTTCGTTTAGTTGCCCCACTATGGTGTCGGGTACCTCACCCGCTAACCAGCAGTTCAGCCTGTTCACAAATATTGTTTTCCCGGCAGTGACTTGTCTGGGAGGAACCCGGGGTTCCGGATCCAGGATCTTCTGTAGATCCGCATTTGTTGCCACGATTACTGTGGCCTTGTTACCATGCATATGGACGTCAACTGGTCCTCACTGATATTGCCTTGTCAATGGCTGCTGCAATTTCGCGCTAAGAACGCTTGTAGATTCCGACGAGTCGCACTTTTTCTTTGTATGTCATGTTATCTGGCAATGGCTTACATTGTCAGGAGAACCTGGAGTGTAGACTTAGGCTGTAACCTGTAATGGTAGTGAGGCTGTAACCTGTAATGTTAATGAGGCTGTAACCTGTAATGTTAATGAGGCTGTAACCTGTAATTTGGACGCGAGTTGAGGACTCCATCCAAGGCATCATTTATAATTCTTGTATTTCTTTGAAGTAAATGTTTGTTTTTTACAATATTTGTTCCTCTAGTCCCCTGAGAGGTTTGTTTAGTGAGAAAGAGAGGTGGACACACCTAAGTAACGTGAGGGGAAGACTGAGTCACCTGTTGCTCAGTCTGGGTGTGAGCTCATGATTACAGGTATACAGAGCCGGAATTTCCTGAGTCCACCCCCACCCCCCACCTACAATTAAATAGGCGTCCGGGAGATTCCTTACTGAGGATGCTGGCATAATTGTCGTGTCAGTGAAGGTGGCAGCACTGGGGGTGTCTGCTAGTGGTTTGTTTTTAATTATCACTCCTCTGAATAGTATGATAACTTAGGGGTCCACAAGCTGGTAGCTGGAGCTGTGCTAACACTGTTGCACAGGAGTAGCCGGGGAGCTGGTGCTGTACTAACACTGTGTGTTACACAGGGGTGGCCGGGGAGCTGGTGCTGTACTAACACTGTGTGTTACACAGGAGTGGCCGGGGAGCTGGTGCTGTACTAACACTGTGTGTCACACAGGAGTGGCCGGGGAGCTGGTGCTGTACTAACACTGTGTGTCACACAGGAGTGGCCGGGGAGCTGGTGCTGTACTAACACTGTGTGTTACACAGGAGTGGCCGGGGAGCTGGTGCTGTACTAACACTGTGTGTCACACAGGAGTGGCCGGGGAGCTGGTGCTGTACTAACACTGTGTGTCACACAGGAGTGGCCGGGGAGCTGGTGCTGTACTAACACTGTGTGTCACACAGGAGTGGCCGGGGAGCTGGTGCTGTACTAACACTGTGTGTCACACAGGAGTGGCCGGGGAGCTGGTGCTGTACTAACACCGGCCACTCCTGTGTAACACTGTGTGTTACACAGGAGTGGCCGGGGAGCTGGTGCTGTACTAACACTGTGTGTCACACAGGAGTGGCCGGGGAGCTGGTGCTGTACTACGGCTGCCGGACCATCGCAGAGGACCTGTATGAGGACGAAAAATGGTCCATGGTGCGCTCGGGAGCCATCAGTCAGCAGCACCTGGCCCTCTCCAGACACCCCACGGTCCCCAAGGTAATGTTGCTGTGTCTTAAACACTGTCTTCGTCACTGTAGCAATCTTCGGTGCACACCTTCCCTACCCTTCACCTTCTTTCCTACCCATCAGTACCTCCTCTCTCCTCTATCACTTTCTCTTCCCATCACTACCTTCCCATCACCACCTTCCCTTCCCATCACCACCTACCCTACCCATCACCAATTTCCCTTCCCATCACCACCTTCCCTTCCCATCACCACCTTCCCTACCCATCACCACCTTCCCTACCCATCACCACCTTCCCTATCCATCACCACCCACCTTACCCATCACTACCTTCCCATCACCACCTGCCCTTCCCATCACCACCTTCCCTATCCATCACCACCCACCTTACCCATCACTACCTTCCCATCACCACCTGCCCTTCCCATCAACACCTTCCCTACCCATCACCACCTTCCCTACCCATCACCACCTTCCCTATCCATCACCACCCACCTTACCCATCACTACCTTCCCATCACCACCTTCCCTTCCCATCACCACCTTCCCTACCCATCACCACCTTCCCTACCCATCACCACCTTCCCTATCCATCACCACCCACCTTACCCATCACTACCTTCCCATCACCACCTTCCCTTCCCATCACCACCTTCCCTTCTCATCACAACCTTCCCTTCCCATCACCACCTTCCCTTCTCATCACAACCTTCCCTTCCCATCACCACCTTCCCTATCCATCACCACCCACCTTACCCATCACTACCTTCCCATCACCACCTTCCCTTCTCATCACAACCTTCCCTTCCCATCACCACCTTCCCTACCCATCACCACCTTCCCTTCTCATCACAACCTTCCCTTCCCATCACCACCTTCCCTATCCATCACCACCCACCTTACCCATCACTACCTTCCCTTCCCATCACAACCTTCCCTTCCCATTACCACCTTCCCTTCCCATCACCAACTACGCTACCCCTCACATCCTTCCCTTCCCTTCACCACTTTCTCTTCCCATCACCATCTTCCCTTTCCATCACAACCTTCCCTTCCCATCACAACCTTCCCTTCCTTTCACCACCATCCCTTCCCATCATCACCTTCCCTTACCCATCACCACCTTCCCTTCCCATCACCACCTTCCCCTCCCATCACCCCCTTCCCTTCCCAACACCCCCTTCCCTTCCCATCACCCCCTTCCCTACCCTTCATCACTTTCCTCCATCTCTCTAGTATGCGTTAGGATGGAGTCTTATATTTTGCGAGACTGAAAGTTATTGTGATTTGCCATATTAATGCAAATAGTGTTCGACCTCCACCCGCCTATGATCATCCCCGGCCAAAAACGAGTCACCCTGCAATGTGTGGTGCGGCTAGCAACAGGAGGCGGTTTATAACAGTATTAACATTTGAGTGGGAAGTTTCGAGGCTTGCTGATCACCGTGGAGAGTCGCTAACGGGGAGCAGTTCACTCTAATTCTACGGGAGCTTGTCGGCAGATGTACGTGCAAGATCTGCTGGTGATGTACGGGAGGGAGGTCCAGAGGCACCTGCTGGAGGAGGAGGGCCACGTCTATGTCTGCGGCAGCGAGGCCATGGCCCGTGATGTGCACAACACCCTCGCTGCCATACTCCAGCACAACTCCCGCCTCTCCCTCCACCAGGCCATCGCCTTCCTCACTAAGCTCAAGGTGAGTACCCGAGCCTCTTCTGGGAAAATCCTAGCAGGCATTTATTTATTTTTATTATATTTTGATTAACTTCAATATTGAAATATTATTATTCTAAGTGGACTGTATATTTTGATTCAGCCTGCACATAGTTTGGAGGGACACTTATAACTTATACCACTATGAGTGCATATATTATAAGCAACGATTGTTTACCTCTTGCAAAATTTAAATTATACCACATATGGTGGCCTAATCTACAGTATTATTAATTATCTACTTTATTAAATAAAAATAATATCATATCCTTAGCTGTGTAGTTGTTATGGCCTAATTAGGCTGGATATGTTTCATCCAACATCTGTTAAGGTGTGGCACATGTGGCCCAGGGCCTTGTAATGGCGGTCTGGCACTGTGGCGTTGGTTTAACACTAGAGGTAGCAAGAAACTTCACAGTTTGTGTGGCCCAGCTTATCTTTTCATTAACGCTTATCTTTTACCTTCCAAATAAAGGACATTAGTAATGGCAAATTAACATTTAAAGCACAGGTGTGACATGAATATTGTGTGTGTGTAGTGCTGAGTAAACTTACTTTGAGCTCACAGTATAACCGCCAGACCTTTCTAAACAGTAAATGGCCAAAAATATTTAATAGATAATTGGCAAGACGGATACGCAGGTACTCCTGTGGTTGTAGAGGTTGTTGTGGCAGTTACTCGGTTCTTGACTCATATTTTAGGAGTCTATAACAAGTTGTGCTGCCCGTGAGCAGCCCTTCTCTGCTTCGTGTCCTTATTTATAAGTTCTGTGTGTACGTGGCTCGCCTCCTCCTCCTCCTCCTCCCTCAGCTGGCATTCTAATATTCTTGTCTTAAGGACAAAGCTTATTTAACAATGGAAAGGGAGTCTGTAGTGTATTTCTGGTGTATGGTATAATGATTCTGTCCTAGTCAATACTATTTTATTAACTTTAAACACTAGACTTTTGTTTTAAGAAATAATTACAGTTTTAAATATACATCTAGTGAAAATATGTCTTGTTGTGATTACGTCACGGAATCACCCACTCACTAAATTCGTAATGGGTACCAATAGTAAGTTAATATTTGTGTGTCGGATTTCCGACATAATTCCAGTGGGGGGCAGAATACGGATCAAGATCCCAGTAAGGACTATGATCATTTTATTCCTCGCCTTCAGAATTATAGAGTTGCTTTAATTTGAGCTTGCACTGTTGTGCAGCAGTGTATTCTGGATGGATGTCCCGTACTGGCGTGTCGGGTGCTGGAAATCGTTGAATGTATTCTTTTCCTGCCAGTTCTAAAGGAGCTAATTTCTCAGAGGTTTTGAGAGTAGTGTTGCCTCGGCATTTTACTGTCACTGTTCTCAAGATGCCCTGACGGTCTGGATGAACAGAAACTATTTGGCCCATAGGCCACTCTGAGCGTGGCCCATCGCTGTCCACCAGAACTATGTCACCAGGGTTCAAGTTAATTTTGTTGTAAGGGTTGTTTGCCCCATAATTATACTCCCTCAGAGCAGTCAGGTATTCTCGAGTCCATACACCATTCCACCGACTTATCACTCCTGAGAGATGTTTGAAACATTGAACCATGTCACTCTCGCCGACATATGAAGGATCTTCTGTTTCTTCGTCCATAAGAGATACTAGAGTTCTTAGCGGTCCCCCATACATCAGATAAGCTGGACTTAATGGTTCACACTGCGAAACATCATCAGAGAGGTAGGCAAGGTGTTAACTCAAGCTTCTATTTCTATAGCAACGGTTTGGAGCTCCTGCAGGTCAATCTTTTGGTGGTGTTGGGTTTTCTGTAGAGAACGTTTTACTGTACCAATCATGCTTTCATTGAAGCCTAGGTGCCATGGGGCTCTGGGAGGTATGAATTTCCAGTGGCACTGCCTTTGATTTAGGGCCGTGTGCACCTTTCGGTGGTTCCAGACTTTCCTCAGACATGCTTCTCCTGCCACTAAGTTGGACCCATTGTCTGATATCATTAACTTAGGACAGGATCTACGTGAAGCAAACCTGCAGGAAGCCTGTAAGAATGCCTCGGCACTCATATCTTGAGTCACTTCTAGATGGGCTCCCCTTGTTGTGGCACAGGTGAATAGGCAGATTGTATGCCTTCACTGGGATTTTGTCCTTGGTGCCTGTCATTGTTAGTGCTCTTGTGAAATCTACTCCTGTGGTCTCACAGGGACGAATATGTACAACTCGTTCCTTTGGGAGTGGAGGAGGTCCCGGATAAGGACACACTCTGGCATCGTACCTCTGCAAATAACACAGGATTTAATTATGGATTTTACAGTCGGATGACCTTGTGGTAGCCAGTACTGTTGTCTGAAGTCTGTGAGGGTATCTAATACCCCACCATGCAGAGTGTTGTGTTTGTGTATCTGTAACACAATTAGCTTGCTTATTATGTGGTGACGAGAAAGTAATATTGGATTTTTTGCTTCCAGATCTATATCTGCATGCTGTAAGCGGCCTCCACATTATATTAGATTATGATTGTTGGTGTCTATCCAGAGACCCAGATCATTTTGAAGTTTCTTAGGGACATTGTCTAATTCTATACCGAATGTGTCTGTTTGGGCTCTTTTGACCCAGTACCTTAAGGCATTAGGGAATTGATGTTTGATTTCTATTTTCTTTAGAAAATCAAACACCACTTGGGTGACACCTAATAGTTTGATCAGTTCAGAGTACTAATTAGTTTCAATTACCAAAGTCCGAGGTGGTTCCGGGTTCTCAGTGTGTACAGTGACATTGGTCACAATGATTTGTGGCTATTGTTCAGGCCATTGGTCACTGATTAGCCACTGAGGTCCATTGAACCACATCTCTGCTTTGGTTAAGTCAGGCCACGGGAGAGATAGTCAGCTGGATTCTCCTTGGTGGGTACATATCTCAGTTTGTACCTGCTGATAACTCTAGTATTTCCTTAACGCGGTTACTCACATAAGGATTTTTACTGTTATTATTTTCACCCACTGTAGCACTGCCTTGTTATCTGACCACACCACTGTTTCTTCAAAGTGGATGTTACTTAAGGCCTTGATCAGATAATGAGCAAATCTTACCCCCTAACAGTAGGGCTGTTAACTCCAGTTGTGGCAATTATCGTTTCTTTAACGGTGCCATTCTGGCTTTTGATGAGCAAATTGGCTTGCCCATTTGATACCAGATAAACTACTATGCCATAAGCCCTTCCTGAGGCATCTATACATGTAGCTTAATTGGGTTTTTTTCATTAACTGTGTTCCAGGGGAATTTGTCAGACTCTAGGATACTTAAACCTTTCACTAGCCCCTGACACTTTTCTTGTAAAGCAGGTGTTAGAAGATCATCCCAGCCTATCTTTTGTTGCCAACATTCCTGTATTATCAACTTTCCATTTATTAAGATTGGACATAATAGTCCCAATGATCGAAGGGTTTGCTGACTTGTGATAATAATTTTCTCATTGTTAGGTTGGTGGTATCTGGTTCAACCAACTTGATTGTCAACTGATCTGCAGTTGAATCCCTTTCGACGCCTGCAACTCATCTGCAGTTGAATCCCTTTCGACGAACTGTTCATACTCTAGACTGTCCTAAGCCTAAATGCACTCTAAGTTGTACCTCCTTGAATACTTGGACTCCCGAGTTAGTCAAGAATCCTGCTATGTCTATTTTTGTCTCTAGTACAAACTTGAGTTTCAAGGCATATCCCAACTCTTGGGAGATATATGTCATTTGGGATCCTTGGTCTAATAATCCAGGTATGGTGACCTTGGACCTTCTGTTTTTAAGAATTAATTGGGCAGTGGGCAAAGCTGATTTATGATCTGACTTTGTTTATAGTACACTTACATCTGGAAGTACTTTTCAGAGCTGTACTGAAGTGGAAGCTCCTTCCTCCACCTGTGGTTTGGGAGACTTTGTATTTGAGTCCCCACACAGTGCTGCATGGTGTTGACTCTTATTGCACCTATGGCAGGCGCACATTTGGGTTGCACAGGCATCAGGGTTATTTGAGCTGAAACACCTAATACATCTGTGCAACTCTTTGAGTTATCTTACATGTGTAGCACGATCAGGGTAAGCATTGCAGGTGTACATGGAATGTTCTTCTTCACAGAACAGACATAGCCTCCAGACCTTAACAGAACCTTTGGGAGTCACCGTTTTGGGTGACACATTAGCTATAGGTTTGGAGGGACCCACTGTATATGTGCCCGCACTTCCTTGTTTCCACCTTGGTGTGGACGTAGTTTGTTTTGATTTATTTGTAGTACTGTTTGTACTCTGTTGTTTACTATGGGTGGTTAACAAAGGTTTAGGTGTTGATTTAGCATCTCTTTGTCATGCTATAAGAGAGCGTAAACCTTCCGTAATCTCGTTTACTGCCAGTGAAGATTTGTTATGTAAGGCACCCAACTTATCCAGTATTTCACTGGGTAACTTGCGTCTTACAAGAAATTGAATTATCTAATCCGATTCACCTAGGTTTACCTTAAGGCTAAGTGCTTTGAGTAAGGAGTCAAGCTCCAATCTAAAAGCTTGGAGTGAGTCAGCAGATCCATCTGCTGATGGTATGTCCACCAATTTTTGTGTTAAAAGTCTGATAGCTCGTTCTGGTTTAACATGATTTTCCTTAAGGAGCTGTACTGCGTTATCATAGCCGTCATTTGACACTGTTAAATTACAGACCACTTTTAACACTTCACCCATTATTATATCTTGCAAGTATGTAAATTTATTGATCTTAGCTATATTGGAATTAGCATCTACTGAGTCAACAAATTTGTTCCAGAAGTTATTCCAATTTTCGTCCTCTGTTCCAGAGAATGGGGGTAAACTAATTGATGGTAGTTTGACTTCTGACTGTGTTGGCCTATGGGAAGCTGTGGTTGTAATCTTTGACTTCTGACTGTGTTGGCCTATGGGAAGCTGTGGTTGTAATCTTTGACTTCTGACTGTGTTGGCCTATGGGAAGCTGTGGTTGTAATCTTTGT